GCAGGGCCAACACACAGGGACAGACAACCATTCGCACTCACATTCACTCCTAGTGGCAATTTGGATTATCCAATTAACCTATCCCCACAAGCTGCATGTCTTTGGTGAGGCAACAGTGCTAACCACCGTGCCACCGTGCTGCCCGTTACTATTTGGTGTTTAAATTAAATTTGTCTATAACAGATGAGACCGAATTGAGGACCTGATGTGTTTGATTTCTGATAAAGACTCAGTCTCAAATTTTCATCAGAACCTGTTCATAAGAGCTTACAGTCAAGTCATCTTTATTTAAATAGCACATTTAAAGGACATCAAGTGTCTGCCAAAATGCTCAACAGAGGGATAATATAATCAAATAAAAAGAATTGAAATCGATAAGATGAAAACATATACCATAACAGTATATAGCTCACTGGCCACTTAATTAGTTACACCTTGATAGTTCCTGTTAGGACCACTTTTTTGCTTTCAGTGCTTCATTAATTCTTTGTGGCATAGTTTCAACAAGGTGCTGGAAGGTCCTCACTTCCTCAGAGATTTTGGTCCAGAGAGACATTATTAGACATTATAGCATCACAAAGTTGCTCCAGATTTGTCAGCTCTACGTCCATGATTGAAATCTCATGTACCACCACGTCCCGATGGTGCTCCACTGGACTGAGATCTGGTGACTGTGGAGGTCAGTCAGGCTGTGGCATGTCAGGCATGTCAATGATCCTCAGTTGGTACTAAAGCACCAAAAGTCTGACAAGAATCTGCTCACTATGACACCTCCACACCCGGTATAAGCTGTTTGTAGGCCGGTTAGAACCATGCTTTCATGCTGTTAATACCAAACTCTAATTCTACCTTCCAAATGTTGCACCAGAAATGAAGACTCATCAGACCAGGCAACATGTTTTCCAGTTTTCTTTAGTGCCGTTTAGGTGAGCCTGTGTGGTTTTCAGTGTCCACTTTGCATTCTTACCTGCTGCTGTAGCTCATCTGCTTTAAGGCTTGATTCACATACTTTGGTTGTAATTAGTGGTTATTATATCTTATCATCTTCTGACCTCTGGCAGCAACGAGGCATTTTCAAACAGACAACTGCTTCTCACTGAATATTTTCTCTGTGTAAATGAGTAAATGTAAGATAAATGCTTGGATTGAAAATTTGGAAACTGAAATCTCCGTGGAGGATTGGAAACCAGGTTGTGCTGTAATTCTGTGAAAACACATTTCAGACTTGCATGCTAACATTATTTAATGGAAATATATGGAACTCCTGTCAGATTCAATTATCTAAAAACGTCATATCTTTTTAAACATGGACCCAGAGTTTCTGTGTGGACAAATGGCATGTTGTAATTATCCGTTATGTGCACTGAGTTTATGAAGTTTTCAGTGATTCAGCACGATGTGCGTCATGTTCAGCGCGTCGCCCTCTGTGGGTCTATGACCAATCTGTGGCTCTCCATAAAATCTGTCCAAAGTTTTGTTCCAACTAAAAGTTTAAGGCCATGAAACAAAACTTTAAGCTTTGTTAATCGATTTCTTTTACATTAATCTCTTGGTTAAAACTTTCAGAGAAATTCGTGTGATTCAACTTATCAAATGTAAATGAATAAAATCTGTTTAAACTGTTACAAAGAGCTGGATTTAAGACCTTAAATGAACATTTTAAGTCTAACAGATTACAAATGAAAACCTTTGTTATTTTTTTTTTTAAAGTGATTGTTTTTGTCTCTACAGGCCAAGATCTACTTCTCTTTTCCTGGTGAGCTGCTGATGAGGATGCTGAAGATGCTCATCCTTCCTCTCATCACGTCCAGGTGGGTCAAAGCACCGACACACAGTATGACAAGGAAAATCACTGTAATCAGAACCATGAGGCTTTGCAACAGTCTGCATTCTGTAGGGTGCAGTTAGATTTCCTTAAAGTGGACTGTTTTGTATTCTTGTACTAGGGTAGCTTTGTATGATTCAAATAATCCATCCAGTCATGCACATGGGCTGTGAGAAATAGTCCCAATCAAATAATTATTTTTTATGCTGGGCCTTAGTGCAGACCCTAAGTTCATCCTCTGTCTGAAACATTGGAAATAAGCTATTTTAGCTCCTCCCCCTTGAATATAACTTTCTTCTGATAAGATGCTCCTCTCAAACGTCTTCAACCCAAAGGTTGAAGAAGCCGGTTAGTGGAGCTTCTCTGTTCACAACCATAGATGCACATTTAAGGATGCGACCTTTAGAACAGTCTGAAGCCTGAGTTTGTGGCTTGCAGGGATTACTTGTACAGAGGCTGATCTCATTATTTGAAACTCTGGCCATATGAACCCGTGAGAAGAGAAAAGCCCCCTATAGAACTCTTAGATTTAGAAGGCTGTGATGTTAAAGCTCTTGTTTTAACAAAAGCACCTTAAAGGATGATCCCACTTCATTTGAGCCTGCTGTATTTCCTGTGTGTTGTTTTTCTGCAGGTCAGCTTTGCGCTCCTCAGAGAGTGTATCTATGACGTTAAACATGAACTGTGCCAGTTGTGTTAAACTATTATTGTTGTTGTTATTATTATTACAGTTATTTCAGTTAAACATGCAGTACTTTACCTGTTTGTTAGGAACAGTCCAGTTGGCCTTCTAATTGAGACTAAATCTACCAGCAGGTGTTTACAGTGGGACCACATTTTTGTCGGTGTGTTACCACATATGTTTCCTCACCCACATTACTAAAGAAAATCCATAAATTATGCATATAAAAATATCAAACAAAGGCATGTTAACAGCATATTTATTTGGAAAGTTTTGCCTCGAGATACTGATTCTGACACTTATGACACTTATAAGATAAATCAAAGTCCAGTCCAATGACAGGACTCGTGGACTTTATTCATATGAGTGATTTAAAGATTCTCCTCCATAAATTTTCAACTAGAAGGGTAAATCCTCTAAAAGAAAAACATGGATAGCTCCACATATTTGACTTGACACAGACTTTCATGGCCTTCCTCAAACAACCTCAGTGTGATTTGTGTCTCCTCCCAGCATCAAATCTACGCAATAAGACCACCCACAAAAATAACTGTGTCCATGGCTTTCTATCAGTAACATTTCAGTCTTTTCTTAAGTAGTAAGTACAGAGTAGTTTTCTAACAGCAGAACAGGATTCTGCTGTTAGATATGTCCCCAAACTGGTTTTAAAACAAATAGTCTGAAGAAGCAGAGATCTGTTATAGATTTTCTTATTCAGTACCTCTCAGTCAGCACTATGGCGCAGTTGTGTATCCTCTCTGTTGATGGATCCAGACTATTTTCTAAATCCCCCTCTGTCCTTGCCTTGCTGTGCAGTTTAATGTCGGGTCTATCATCGATGGAGTCGAAGGCATGTTGCCGAATGGGTGTCCTCACCGTCACATACTACCTCTGGACCACCTTCATCGCCGTAGTGGTCGGCATCTTTCTCGTGATCATCATCAAACCAGGTGTGGGCACAGAGATGGAGAGCAACCGGCTGGGTGGCGGGCCTGTCATGACCTCGGCTGATGCCCTCCTCGACCTCATCAGGTGTGACAGGTCAAAAGTCAGCTGGAGACTCTGGAAGGGTCCCTGCCAGTTATTTGTGTGGTGATAATTGTTCTCTGTGTTTGAAAGAGCAAACTGTAAAAGAAAAAGTGAAAGTAAATGCTAAAAAAAAGGAAGGAAGGAAGAGGACCCCAATGCAGGTCTTGTGACACAGGCTGAACCTAAAACACAGCTTTTATTAGCTGGCAACTGACTGGTTAATAAAACGCAATGACAGAGCAGGGCAGGAGCAAACTGACTGAGAAACTAGGTCTAGTGGAGAAACATACAGACAGATGAGCACACAGCATAAGGGATAAGAGAGGAAACAGCAAAGAACAGAAGCAGACTGAGGGTTCAAATACACATGAGGAGACTAGGACAGAGTGGACACGGCTGGGGAACACAGCACAACAAAATCAAAATAACAAGCCAGAGGAAGCAAAAACTGAACGTAACACATGAACGTACAAACTTAGTAAAAAAGGGAAATCAGACTACGGCGGAGATAGGACACAGAGAGACGGGACGGACACAGGGACAAAACTGGGGAGACAGAAAAAGGATCAATAAATCAGGAATCAGGAAACTGACAGCACAAAAACCAAGGTCATCGTAAGTCCAGGAATGTGAAAATAACACTATAACCAGAAGACTATAATGCACAGAATACAGAACAAAAATACTGTTATGGCAAATGCAGATGGACGCAGGGAGCAGAGTTGCGGTGAAGACAGTTTATTTACAGTGATGAGGAGGTTTTACAAGTATGTACAATATGGGGACGCGGAGCCAGGACGTGCAGGTGACGGAAACACACACAGGTAGTGCCCTCGATTTGGTACTGTTTATAAGCCTCCAGACGGAAACAAACCAGACGAGGGGAAATCCTGGGGAGGAAACAAAACTCCTGACAGTCACCAGAAATAATCCAACGGCTCCAGCAGGCAGGAGCAGAATTACAGACTCTCCAAAAACATCAATACTCCGACACTAGTCTTCTGTCAGGAACACTTCTGAAGAATGCAGCTGACGAGTAACAGGTGTGCCAGGTTCAGCGACTCAAACACCACATAACCAGAACCCAACTCCTAACAAATACAAGATTATCAAAAATACAAACGCTGTATTCAGGGTGCTGAATCTCATTCTGTTTTGCTGTGTAGTTCGTAAAAAGTTTCACACTTAACTTGGAGAATGTGCAGAAACTAAATGTGCCAGGGTTTTCCTCTAAACAACAACAAAATTTCCATGAACCTCGGTTGTGCTGCTTTGGAGGAAAACACATCAAAAGGATAATTCTGGTTTATCTCACTTTGGTACATGTCCTGTAATTGTGCTTGTTGCATCTCTGTGGCCTCTGTGAGATTCAGGGAAATGAGGATTGGTGCACAGCAGCATAGAAACGTGCACACAGCTTTACAGTTTGTTTTGGGTATTAGAGATCACCGTCCGGATGCACATCCACTCTGACATGTTCAGCTGAACTGAGGTCAACAAAACGTAGAAAACCAACACACACTCTCTCTTCTTCTCTCACACACACAAATCCAATTAGAGTGCAGGGCTGATCAGTATATTTTTGGTAATCCTGCAGGGATGAGTGATAGATTAACCAAGTCAGTGGCGGTGCATGATCTCTGCTGTGGCACGTTGGCAGACCAAGCTCTCGTGCCATGTTTGAAAGTCACTCCCATGTTGGAAGGATTCGTTGGATTGTTTACCTCCTGAGGTGATGAACCCCTCCCAGCAAAGGGTGCAGACAGTCATCCTGTAGAAGAGCCACCCAAGTCGTGCTGCTAAATAAAATTTATTCCAAAATAAAAAATTAATAAGAACAAAAGAACAACATGGAGGAATCTTAGGCTCCTCCTATGCACAAGAGGCAGCGGGTGGGAGGAGTTTGTTTGTTTGTTTGTTTAAAGCTAACGATGTAATTTGTTTATCACAGAAACATGGTTCCTTCCAATCTAATTGAGGCCACATTTCAACAGGTAACACAACAGAATTGTGTTGTTTCTTTAATGCTACAAGCTTGAATCCTGTAACTAAATATGATTTTCTTTCTTCAGTACAAAACAGACCTGATTCCCATCCTCAAAGTCCCAACCAAAACAATTCAGCCCAACTTTGTCTATGTGATCCCTGATGACAATGACCCCAAAGGGCGCATGGTGTACCTCGAGCTGACTCCTCCTCCAGATGTCATATACAAGACAAGTCCAGGCAGCAGCCAGCAGATGAATGTCCTTGGCATCGTTATCTTCTCTGCAACTATGGGTGAGTGGGATCGGGGTTGCTAACATCGTAAATTTTGAAACCTCATCATTAGCGTTTTAACTGCCAACATGTTGGTTTTTGTAACCAGAAATGACCTGTTCATTTCTTTTTGGACTCCACTAGAATATTGTTTGAATGATTGACAGTTAAAAATAATCTTTATTCATACTTCTATAGTGTAGCCCCTAAGTTCATCCACCTTGTGAAACAAGCTTTTCCTGCTGTGAGGCCCTTTAACTCTTTTCTGCTTGAAAGCCTACTAAGAGTAACCCTTGAATCTTTTTTCTAAACTGAGCAGTTTCTGTCATATCTCAGGCCTGAGATATGACAGAAACTGCTATTTTGTTATATAACAAACTAATGTTATAAGATATTCTCTTTATATGACATTATATGGGTCCCAGAACTGAAAAAAACTGTCTGAAACTGAATAATCAGAGCACGGTGAAGTCTATTCTTTTGGCTTGGAGAGATTACTTCTTTTATAATATGTGCATGAGCACGAGCAAGTGTGACAGACAATAAGGAAAACACAATAGTTCCACTTTCAGGTTGTGTGATGAACCAGTCAAGACCAATTTTTCTTAATTTAGATTAAATCAAATCAAATCACTTTTATTGT